TTCCTGCTGGCCCAGGGCAGAGCATCTTCATGGACTTCATGGGTAACCAGCAAGAATGGCAAGCGGCACATCTTCGCCATAGTTGATAGGTTTACTAAGTTCGCTAGACTAGTTGCCATGCCAGAGACCACCATGACCGAACACGTCATTAAGTTATTCATGGATAACTGGGTGCGTGATTTCGGGCTACCAAAGACAATTGTTAGTGATAGAGATGTGCGATTCACCAGCGAGATGTGGAAGAAGGCCGCTGAACAGATGGGCAGCCAGCTTCAGATGACTTAAAAAAAAAAAAAAAAAAAAAAAAAAAAAAAAAAAANAAAAAAAAAAAAAAAAAAAAAAAAAAAAAAAAAAAAAAAACAGCTCCTTATGGTCCTGGCTCCATTTCCATTCTGGGGAGCATCAGTTCGGTTCCTATTCCACCGGCAAGTCATAATAAATATTACATCATGAACCCACGTACGCTTCCTTCCATCTGGCTGAAGGAACCCTGACCAGCATTGATTACTCCAGCATCGTGGAGGATTGACTGCCAGCTTGCCATGCTTTTCCCTTTCCTCTCAGGGCAAGAAAGGTCCTGGACGCTACAAAGGCTGCCAATTCTGTCTAAACTCTGATCCCCGCCCATGTACCTCATGAGATCCCTACCAGTCTGAGCCCTGTTTGGCTTGATTGTCTAAAACCCTAAACCCTCAGCTATAGTTTTAACGAGACTCTTAATGCGTCTGATTTTTATGGGTCTTATCGTTTTATATTTCTTCCATGGATTTTTTTGCTATCAGGTCTGCCTCAAAACAAATTAGCTTGTGCCATCTTCCTTTGATGATTGGGTCTGGGTCCTTTGTTTTTAACAGCATTTTATAACCTAGCTTAACTGTGTAATCAGAAATTGGGATTGGTGGTTTAGTAGCTCTGTTTCGGTCGGAGACTCGGAGGGCTAAGCCCATTCTCAGGGGTCAAACTCGAGGTCTTGAATTGCTGTCCTTATTTGAAATATCCGTTTTGGCCAGAGTCCTACAACCCTTATTTTATGGACCATAAACACATTCAGCACTACTCTTTCTGGGTTGATATTCTGGATGTACAGATCATCAGGCTTGGTCTCCAAGATCGAGAAGGATGTGAAGACATCTCTTGGACCTGAACCTGAGATTCGATGGAAAAATTGGTAGGCCCTCTCATGGGAGGTGTCTTGGATTAAGATTCCCCACTCACCCGCTTTCCACGTTAATTCCTCCTTTAGTAGCTCAACCCAGCCCCCAGGGATGCTCTGTATAATCTTTTGCAGGTTTTCTTCCCTGTGGTGGCAGCCTTTCAGTCGAACTCTGATCTCGTTTTCATCCAGCCAGTTTTTCCTTTCCTCATTCCAGATGTCCCCTACTCGCCAGACCCTTTGTGTGGCGGAGAGTGCCCACGGGTGGTCTCCCGCATCTCTGATCAAGGGTTCCCAAAGAGAGGCTGCCTGAGCACTTCCTCTTTGGACCTGGGTTTGTTTCGTTTCTCGGGCATGATCTCTCTCCAGATACGTATAAGGGTCGTCCAATAGGGGGGAGGTGACGCGGCTTCTGTGTCTTCTCCTCCCTGATCTTGGATTCCAGTCTTTGTTCATGACCCAGAACAGTCCAGACATGTTAGTGGGGGACTCCGTTGGGGCCAGATTTCTGATGCTGTCTTGTGCTAATTTGTTCCACGACAATGATTGTTTGGTCACTAGCTTAATGACCCACTTTATTTGCAGGGCTTTCGTTTCTTGTTTGGGGTCAATAATGCCTAGTCGCCCCTGTGATGGTTTCCTTGTGATGCAGTGCCAGGCTATCTTTGAAATGTAGTGCTCTTTGTTAGGGTTCCCTGCCCATAAGTAGGCTCTGGCTTTCTTGTTTAGGTCTTTGATGGTTTGGTCTTGTATAGTCCAAATTGAGGCTATGTACCACATCATTGAGAATATGGAGGTGTTAATGGCAAGTGCCCTCCCCTCTAGTGATGTAAATGCTTGATTCCACTTCCCTATTTTGTTGATTTGACCAGCTAGGAGATTCTGTGCCATATGGGGAGCAGGGCCGTCTTTTGTCACTTGAATCCCCAAATATCTCTTTGGTTCCTCCGGTTTCTCCCAAGACATCTGATTCTCTGGACCTTGAAGTTGCGGGATGGGTTCATCGAATAGCCACCACCCTATAGTCTTTACCCAATTAATCTTCATTTCTGATGCTAGTCTAAACGCTTCCATTGCTCTGACTAAGGCTGCCATGGACGAATTGGAGGCCCGTATCAGCACCGTTAAGTCATCCGCGAACATGATTATTGTAGGGAGTATGACATGGTGTGAGGAGCCCACATTCATTTCAGGCAGTCTTTGGATAGAAGGGTCTTTACGGAGGAAAGAAGCTATGGCTTCCATAACGAATAAGAAAATAGGTGGTGCTAGTGGATCGCCTTGTCTTACCGACCTAGAGATTGGGTAACCTTCATATAGCAGACCGTTGATCTGAACGCAACCGGAGGCATTGTTGTATAAGACTCGCACCCACTTCCTGAAGTTGGGACCTACCCCCATTCTTTCCATACTTGCCTCGAGGAAATCCCAACTTCAGATGACTTCTGGGAATCCTCCCGAAGCAAATGGGCAGGATGAACAGATACTTGCCTCGAGGAAATCCCAGCTTCAAATGACTTCTGGGAATTCTCCCGAAGCAAATGGGCAAGCTGAACAGATGAACCGTGTGGTGCAGCATCTGCTGAGGCATTACATCAAGCCCAGCCAGGATGATTGGGATGAGAAATTACCTCTCATCGCCAGTCTGTACAATAACGCTGTACACAGCACCACCGGGGTCACCCCAAATCAGCTGCATCTGGGATGGAAGCCTAGATCTGCTCTAGACTTCCTCCTGCCTGAAACCCGAACTGCTGCAACTCCTGGAACCATTGAATTTGGTGTCCAGTACGAGAAATTGTTGCAGCAGACTGTCAAACACATCAAGAAATCTCAGGAAGCAATGATTGCTTCTGAGAATAAGAAACGCCGACAGTCCACATTTCAGGTAGGGGAACGTGTCTGGGTCAAGGCTAGTGAGTTGGGACAGGAGTTTGGCATCTCTAGGAAACTAATGCCTCAGTATTTTAGTCCCTGGGAAGTCTCGGATATTGTGGGGAATGATTTGGATGGTCCATCGTACGGCATTCATATCCCTGGTCACTTACGCACTTACCCTGTTTTTCACGCCTCCAAGCTTGCACCTTTCGCTGAGACAGCACAATTCCCATCACGGAGATCTATGCTGCCCCCAACCATGGATGGCCACGTGGACGTCGACGGCATCCTGGATCACAGAGACACGCCTGTTCCCAAGCCACCTGGCAGGGGACGACCTCCTAAACCGGCAAGGGAGTACAGAGTGCATTTCAGGCATCATACGGATCCTAAGGGAAGGGAGGAACTTGTCAAGACAGCTCCTCAGATTGTGGCAGATTATGAGAAGAAACCGAAGGGGAAGGCACCAGCCTGAAGCATCTCAGCGGACTTTCGAAGCTAAGGGGGATGGAATGTGAGGAACAAGCCCTCAAGGGGCCCTATCAGACATCACATGTTCTGGGCTAAGGCCCCCAGCAAGCCGAGTGCCCGCCCTAAGTGAAGGCGGGCCTGAGGCCAAAATTCGATATTTCCATATGTGGGTATTCAGGCTCTCACAGCACGCCAGTTGGTTGGGTAGACGCGTGGGCCTCACTAAGGTGCGTCATACAGTTGGCCCAGGCCTTGACAGTCGCGCCTGGGCACACACAAACAAAGCAGGGCCGATACATTGGGAAGCAAGCCATCGGCCTTTGGAAAAGCAGTACTGCTGGCGCACCTGCCTGGGAGCCCTGCACAGATGCAGCAAACAGCCCAAGTCCGGAGACTCAGGCTGTGCCCAACTGAAAAGGGCCCAGGGACTCAACTGTAGGCTCGGGCCTGGGCACAGGGTCTGAGGCCCAACCGGAAGCACTGGAAGCTTCCAGCCAGGCCACACGCAGCATCCAGGAGGCTGCCACTTCCATAAAAGAAGTGAGGCAGTCCAGTCCTGGCATTCTGGCCAGTGCAGGCAATGCGGAAGTGCTGCTGTACTCTCGCTTGATGCTGCGCTGCTGCCAAAGACGCTGACGGGGCGCGTAGTGGCGAGGTGGGGCGCTGCAGGGCAGCGCGGCGCAGGCAGCCATAGCCAGGCTACTGGGCGCCAGGGGGTACAGCGGGCGATCTGGTGGTCTTCAGGGAAGGAGGTGCAGTGTGGAGTAATCAAGGTCTGATTGAGGGTGACGAGATACGTACCTGGTGCATGAAGAGAGGTCGGCTATGGTTTTGACAGTCATGTAGTCTTCGAGAGTCGAAGTGAGCCTGTTGCGTGAACCAGATGTAGTTAGGATTGTCGGGTAGAGTGGGCTGGGCGCTGGGCGCGAGTCAGAGAGGAGCGACTTTGGATACTGTGTTGGTGTGGCCTACGGGCTTGGACATTGACTCCTTACTTCATTGTATTGCTCTATATGGATGGTTTTCTCGGTGCATTTGTACTCTCTGCTTGGACAAGACTACTTGGACATCTGTGTGATTTAGCGACTTGGTTTTTTGTATATCATATACAACTTCACACTCATATTCCGTGTAACACTCGATCGTAGCCAAAAAAAGAAAAAAGAAAAAAAAAGGCTGAGATACTTTATCCCCGCTACCTTTCTTTTTTCCGTTTTTTTTTTTTTTTTTTTTTTTTTTTCCGGGAAAAGGACCTGCCCTACGTTTTGTGTGTGACGCAGTTGGAAAGGCTGTCTGCAGTGATCGGTCTCTACGTTGCGTCATTGGTTCGTGCTGTCTCTAATTTGCCCTTGATCCTCCTCCTCATGAATGATTACCCCCCTAATTGCCAGCAGGTCATACATACTCCTCCATTTTTTATTTTTTTATTTTTTTTGTGTGTGTTTCCGACCGACCATGGATCAACCTTGTGACCCGCCGTGTTTTTTGTGTGACCCAGTTGGAAAGGCTTTCGGCGGTTATCAGAGCAATTGAAGAAGACACAGGTGTTGTGCCATTGGGCGCCATGGTGGTCAACTCCAACAATGACGTCATCATTAACAAGTTTTTCACAGGTGAGGAGGACTCAAAAAAAAAAAAAAAAAAAAAAAAAAAAAAGGAAAAAGAAAAAAAAACTCCACAGCGTGTTCTTCTCCTCCTTTCGGCCCCCACTGTCTTCACCTCAACAGAACGCCCACTCATTATACCTGTACTTGGGGCAACTTTCAGTCTAGGTGTGGCGATAATTATTCGGGTGCTCTGTTTGGGTGGGTGAAGCCAGAACGAAGGATCCTTCGTCGCGTTTGGCGAAATTGGCGGCGGGATTTTGAATTGCTGCACCTGTTCGTCTCTAACTCGATGCGTGGTGTTTGGTGTGTAAGTTGTGAAGTGTGTGAAACATTTTACCACAAGCCACTGATATGCTTACTCTTTCTCTTTTTTTTTTTTTTTGCCGTTCCAATTTTAATGGATGTCAACATTGTCAAGGTCATCCATCACTTTTTTTTTTTTTTTTCCCTTCAAAATTCAAATTTAGAAAACTTTGCGTCAGTGGCACCAGTTAAGGAGGTGATTAAAAAAATGAAAAAAAAAGGGCATCCATCATATGCTTATCAAGGGTGGGCCGGCAACCGGCCGGTTCACCTCCCCCGGTCCACCCCAGGGGGGCTGAACCGGAAAACCGGTTTTAAAAAAAAATGCCCAGGATTTTTCGTTTTTTTTTTTTTTTTTTTGTCAACGGATTCGGACTGCGCTCTTCGAGATCTGTCCAAATCCACGATAAAATTTGGAAGGTGAGAATTTTTTGGGGGGGGGTTCCCAAGAGGGGGGAGGGAATACTATCGGGTGGGGCCAGGGAGTCGGAGGTTGGCCTTTATGTGGAGGGGTCAAGTAAACTGCTTTACTTGACCCTCCGAGGCCTTTCAAATTTCAATTCGACCATACACCTCTTTATTGGTTTATGCCGTCCGGCGTTGGTATTCTAGAGGCCGAACAACATATGCTGTTGGGAGGTGCTTGCCCAAAGTGTGAGGATTGAGCCCTCAAGTAGGGGCCTTGCCATGATGTACATGTTCTGGGCTAAGGCCCCAGCAAGCCTCGTGCCTGCCCTAAGTGAAGGTGGGCCAGCAAATCAACAAGAGCCCTCTGTGCCAACATTTCACGAAGTGGGGTCCATACAGTTGCAGCACGCCAGTTGGTTGGAGTGCACAGAGTCTCGGATTTCAGCAAATGCTGAAAACCCAGGGCCTCTGAGTTAGTTAGGCCCTGGGTACTTGAACGTGAGGCCGACAATGCATGCTGGGTATAGAGGCTGAAAATGCCAAAGGGAAACCGGCCCACTGTCTGAATCTGGCCGCAGGCCTCGTCGAGAGGGGCGCAACTGCATCTCCCGGGCCCCAACTGTATTGGGCCTGGGTTCAGCCACTGAGGCCCAGTCGCAGGCTGAAGGGAGGCCGCCCNTGGGCCTGGGTTCAGCCACTGAGGCCCAGTCGCAGGCTGAAGGGAGGCCGCCCACACGCAACACTGGCATATAGGCAAGCAKGGCGAGTGGGCAGGGATCTTGGCCAATGCAGGGCATTGYGGGCACGCTGCGCAAATGCATGTGTGCTGCGCTGTGCAAGAGCTGCGCTGCGCTGGGGTGAAGCAGGCTAGCACTAGGCGGTAGGGCGCTGCMTGCATGCAAGGCACTGGCAGCCATAGCYGGGCCGCATGAGGGTACAGKAGAGGTGAAGGGCGAAGGTGGTCTTCRGAGGTGAMGGGCRCTGTGTGGGTACAAGGGAGAGTGTSGGTGAAGAGGACACGTACCTGGTGGAGGTGGAGGTCGGCATTGGTGTTGACATCATCACTCGCTGGTAGTCAAGTTGTCTGGTTGCTTTCATTGCTGTAGTTGTAGGCTTAGTCTGTAGAGTAGATAGGGCGCCTGGCGCCATTCATGAGAGAGAGCTACATTGGGTTATGCTGTTGGTGTTGCCCTGTAGGGCATGGACATTGACTCACGATTCTTCTGTATCATTCTCAATTGGATGGTTACTCGGTTCCATTGTGCTATCTGCTTTGGCTTTGACTACTTGGACTTCAGTGTGATTTTGCATTCTGGATTTCTGTGCTTCGTCCATATTCATGTTCCTTGCAATTTGGTATCGGTGCTGGTTTGATCGCCACTTACCTTTGGCACGCTGGCGTTATACAGACTTGGTGCGTTGATGATGCTTCTTCGCAGTGGGTACTTGTGACGTCAGGCCACATTAGGTGCACGCCCTGGGTAGAGAGGGGTGCACCGGAAGGCTAAGACGGCAGTGTAGGCCTGTCTCTTATACACATCTAGATGTGTATAAGAGACAGTATCTACTCTCTCAATCTCTTCTTACCGTGAGGAAGTGAGTCCAACTTGAGAGTCCTCTCTTTTGGTGAGGTGTCGTGAGCGCGCTACCTTGAGAGACGACAATCTTCGCGGAAGCATCTGGAAGGAGTAAGGGCGGTGCCTCTGAAGGGCCCTGGTCGAAGCACTGGGTCACGGTCACCATGCCAACCCAATGGGAGTAGGTCACGCATGCGATGGCTGCTGTCCATTAAGGCACTTGCTGCGCTGAATAGAAGTCCTGCCGGGTGTGCCAGCCCATGACAGACGCTTACCAGACCGTCTATAAATATTTCTGGTTGGGAGTTCATTGTGAATCTGGCTGTGATCGTCGTCCTGACTGCGATGTTAAATAATTCCTGAAGAGATGGGGGCGCTCTATAAATTCCTCCTGATCAGCCAGATCACATGGACAGGAAGGCTCGTCGCCATACGAGGGTAAAGAAGAGTGGTTGGGCTGGCTTGCTCGGTAATGGACTTGGGCACAGGGGTGGGCCGATACACACACGAAGACACTGCTCGCTCAATGATGCTGTTCGGTATGTTGGATTGAGGGGAGGGTAGGTTCTAATTGGTGCTCAACTGAATACACAACCATACCCACTCATCATAGATCTGCTACATTGTCTTTTTGTATCTTTGATTAGTTGGTGGACAAACTGCTAACACCTCACAGACAGATTAGGTAGGACTGTTGTATGCTACCATAGCCAGTTCTGTCTAATGCTGCTGTAAGTGAACCTATCGAGATACATTTAGACAATGTAGACAATCTGTGTGAATGTTGTAGACGTGCCACTTGATTCGGTACAGTAGGGGACTCGCCGGACACAACTATATTTAGAAAATTAGGTGCCGGTCAGACACATGCTGCGGTAGGATTCCACTAGGGGATTCTAGTGCAGATAATGTTTGTTTAATTGATGAACGGATCAGACATCGATGAGGAGGGAGTGGACGATGCTAGACTAACACGTGCTAGATCACTTAGGATCCCGCACGTGTTCCAGGCCCTACAACCGGAAGACGAAAGACGCATTCGTGCTGAACGCAGAGCCCGTGCTCTCGCAGCATTGAGAGAGGCAGCAAATGTTGCAGCTAGGGAACAGGCTGCAGCAGCAGCCAGGGCAGCAGTCATGTCTTCTGCAGCAGCATCCTCCGCTGCAACGTCTGTTGCGTTCTCGTCTGGGCCCCAGTTTGGAATGCCAACAGGGTCCACGGGCACTTCCAGTGCTGTAGGATCACGACAGTCTACAAGAGCCCTCTGTGCCAACATTTCACGAAGTGGGGTTCATACAGTTGCAGCATGCCAGTTGGTTGGAGTGCACAGAGTCTCGGATTTCAGCAAATGCTGAAAACCCAGGGCCTCTGAGTTAGTTAGGCCCTGGGTACTTGAACTTGAGGCCGACAATGCATGCTGGGTATAGAGGCCGAAAATGCCAAAGGGAAACCGGCCCACTGTCTGAATCTGGCCGCAGGTCTTGTCGAGAGGGGCGCAACTGCATCTCCCGGGCCCCAACTGTATTGGGCCTGGGTTCAGCCACTGAGGCCCAGTCGCAGGCTGAAGGGAGGCCGCCC